CTCTTCTAGTGAAGCATAGTGTTGGCTCTTTGTAATTTGTATTTCTGCAGTGACAAATTGTGTTATCTCTTTCAATATGTGTGTTGGCCATTCATATATCTTCTTTATAAAAGTGTCTATTCAGATCTTTCACCCATTTAAAAATTTGACTGTCTCTTTACTGAGTTGTAGTTGTTCCTTATCTTGGATATCAGTTCTATGTTAGATATGTGTTTTGTGAATAATTTCTCCCAGTTTGTGACTTGCTTATTCGTTTTGGTGATGTTAATTTTTTATAAGTACATGTTTTTTAAAAATTTAATAAAGCCCAAATATATCATGTTTTTCTTTTATGGTTATTACTTTGTGTGTACTAAGAATCCTTTGCCTATCTCTAAATTATGAAGATACTCTTCAGTGTTTTCCTCTAAAAACTTTCTTATTTTAACGTTTATGTGATGTTTAATGCTTGATTTAGTTTGAATTAACTTTCATGTATAGTGTAAAGCACAGATCAAGGTTAATTTTTTTAAAGTGAATATCTATTTGTTCCACCACCACTTGTTGAAAAGACTTTCCTTTACTCATTAATAACTTGGTATAAAACAAAAATGACCATCTAAGTGTAGGTCTTTTTCTGGGCTACCTATTTAGTACTATTGATCTGCTTGATGATACTTATGAGAGTACCATACTGTCATGATTTCTGGAGCTATAGAGTAAGTCTTGAACTCAGGTCGTATAAACGCTGTAGCTTTTTTTGTTAGTTTCCAAGATTGCTTTGGATATTGTAGGCTCTTTTGTATGCATTTTATGCATTTTGTATGCATTTTAGAATGAACGTCTCAATTTCTCCAAAAAATGACTGCTGGAATTTAAGATTGTTGTCTCTTTAGAACATTATAGGGAGAATCAACATTTTGACAACAGTGAACTTTCCACTCTATGAACATGGTATATCTCTACATGTTTAAATATTCTTTAAATTTTCTTTTTAAGTAACCTTTGTAATTTTCCATGTCTTCAATTAAGGATTTTTGAGTCCATGTTCATAAGATATGTGGTCTGTAATTTTCTTTTCTTGTAGTTTCTGTTAGGTTTTGGGATTAAGAGCACGCTGCCCTCATAAAATATGTTTGGAAGTATTCTATTTTCTTAAGGAAATTTTATAAGATTGGTATTGTTTGTTCCTTAAATGTTTGGTAGATCTATATAGTAATCTGGCCCTGTAGTTTTCCTTGTGGGAGGAGTTTTGATAAGTTCAATTTCTTTAATAGAGATAGGCCTGCTTCAGATTTTCTGCTCAATTTTGTGTCAGTTTTGGTAAGTTGTATTTTTCAAGGAATTTGTTTTAAATAAAATATTAAATTTGTTGTAAAGTTGTTATATTATGTTCCTATTTTAAAAAAGCCTTTAAGGGACGCCTACGTGGCTCAGTCAGTTGAGCATCTATCTGGCTCTTGATTTTGGCTCAGGTCATGGGATTAAGCCCTGTGTCAGGTTCTGTGCTGAGCATGGAGGCTGCTTAAGATTCTCTCTCTCCCTTTGCCCCTCTCCCCTGCTCACGTGCTGTCTCTCTCTCTCTCTCTCTCTTAAATGGAAAAAAAAAGGTCTTTAATATCTGGGGCACCTAGCTGGCTCAGTTAGAAGAGCATGTGACTCTTGATCTCGGCGTTGTGAGTTTGAGCCCCATATTGGCTATAGAGATTACCAAAAAAATAAACTTAAAAAATAAAAATAAAAAAGACTTGAATAACTAAAATGATGCCCCTTATTTCCTTTCTGATGTTTGTAATTTCCCTGTTATTTTTTGATCAGCCTTGTTAGGGGTTTATTAATTTTACTCCTTTTCAGAAATCCAGTGTTTGGCTCATTGATTTGATCTTTTTTGGATTTGTTTTCTGTATCATCTGTGTCTACTCTTTACTCTTTCTTTCCTTCTACTTTCTTTGATTTGCTGTTTGTTTTTGAACTTTTGAGATAGAAGCTTAGATATTGGTTTTCATTTGTCTCTTCTAATACCTGCATTCTTCTTTACATTTATTTACAAGTATTGTTTTAGTTTCATTTTCTATGTTTCCATAGTTTATATTTTCATTATAATTTATTGTAAATATTTTTAAATTTCCATGATGATTTATATACTTTTATTTTTTTGACTCATGGGTAATTTAGAAGTATGTCACTTAATTTTCAAGCAGTAGGGGAGTTTCTCAATTTTTGAAAATTGTTCACTTCTAGCTTAATTGCCTTGTAGTCAGAGAATATACTCTCAGAGACTTCAGTCCTTTGAAATTTAATGAGATTTGCTTTATGATTCAACTTATGGTCCATTTTGGTATGTGTATTGTGTACAGTCTATATTCTGTTTTTATTTGGAAGAATGTACTATGTATATTAAGTCTGGTTGGTCACATAGTTCAAATCTTCTGTATCTTGGTAAAAAATTTTTTTCACCTGCTTAATCTTGTAGTGATTAACAAAGGTGTGTTAATCTCCCACGTGATTATGGATTTGTCTGTATCATCTATTAGTCTTGTTGTTTGAACTTTTTTTTTTTTTGCTTTATATATATTAAAGCTTTGTTATTGGGTCCATTCATACATAGAAGTATAATATCTTTTTGTTGGTATGACTTTTTAATTATTAAGTAATGTCTTTTTTTTTTTTTTTAGTAGTGCTTATTGCCTTAAGTTGACTTTATCTGATATTGGCTTAACTATGACAGTTTCCTTTTTATTGTTTTTTTGGATAGTACACTTTTCCCCATCATCTTATATTTAATCTTTCTGTGACCGTAAATAGTCTTATAGTAGAGGGAATATTTAACATAATAACTATAATTTGAGTTTAAAGTTACTATCTTACTATTTGTGTTTTAATGATGTGCACTGTGCCTTTTCTCTTCTTCTTTGGTTCAATGAAATATTTTAATTATTCTTTTTCTCACCTCAATTAGCTTTTTTAATGGCTATCCTAGAAATTACTACATGAATTTTGAGTTTTTGCAGTATGGTGTAGGTTATTACCTCTGCCACTTCCTGCATAATGCAGATATCTTAGAAACTTTGACTCCCATTTACTCCAGTTCTGACTTTTTTAAATTGTTTTCATGCATTTAAAAATTTTAAACTTAACAAGATAGTAATATAATTATTTTTATGTCATTGTTCATGGTCATTGTTCATGTTTGCCAATATTTACCTTTTTTACAGCTCTTACTTTTTGCATTTGTTTTTTTTCCCTAGTATTATTTTCCTTCTGTTGGAAGAATTTGTTTTTAGTATTTCTTTTACTGATAAATTTTTATTTGTTTTTCTGAAACCACTTTTATTTCATTTTCATTTTTCAAACATTTTTTAACCTGTGAATAGATTTCTTAATTGGTACCTATTTTCTTTCAGAATTTTTTTTAAAGTTTATTTATTTTGAGAGAGAGAGAGAGAGAGAGAGAGAGAGAGAGAGTGTGTGTGTGTGTGTGTGTGTGTGTGTGTGTGTGTGTGTGTGAGAGCAGGTGAGGGGCAGAGAGAGAGAGAGGGAGAATCCCAAGCAGGCTCTGCACTGTCAGCACAGAGCCCAATGTGGGGTTCGGACTCATGAAACTGTGAGTTCATGACCTGAGCTGAAATCAAGAGCCGGATGCTCAGTCGACTGAGCCAGCCAAGCACCCCTTTCAGAATTTTAAGAAGTCATTCCATTGTCTTCTGCCATTCATAATTTCTGTCTAAAGTTATTTTTCAGTCTGTTGATTGTTGCTTGCTATTTATTTATTTTTAAAGTTTATTTATTTTGAGAGAGAGAGTACAAGCAGGGAAGGGACAGAGAAAAAAGGAGAGAGAGAATCCCAAGCAGGCTCAGCGCTTTCAGCACAGAATCTGACGAGGGTCTCAATGTCATGAACCATGAGATCATGACCTGAGCTGAAATCAAGAGTCATTGTGCTTAACCAACTGAACCTCCCAGGCACCGTGATTGTTGCTTATTTAAATCTGTTTTTTCCTCTAGGTCTTTAAAGATGTGACTTTATATCTTTCACTAATGTTAGAAAGTTCTTGGTTGTTATCATTTCAGATATTGCTTCTGGCTTATATTCTCTCTCTCTTCGTCTGGGAGTTCAGTCATGTGTGTGGTAGAAGCTTTCAGTGGATTCCATAGGCCTGTTTTTCTCTCTTACATTTTTCAACTTTTATTTCTCACTGCTTTGGTTTGGATATTTTTTTGGAACATCTGTTTTAGTTCAAGTTTATTCTGTTCAATCTGCTAGAGGCACCAAGCACTAACAACACCTTGGAAATTTTGCTATGAAGAGTAAGGATATAGGAGCAGTAATTGGACCATGTGGGAATAAAGAGAGGGACTTACTTTTCGTTTTTGGTTAGACATACTAACATGTTTATGTTATGATTGAAATGATTCAGAGAGAAAAAAATTAACTCTGTGTGGGAAAGAAAAGGAAGATGATTTTTGGCTAAAAGTCTCTGAGGAGGTGAGAGAGGACATAATCCAAAGCACAACTGGGAGAACTTTGCTTTGATAGAAGTGGGACATAAAGAGAATAGGCACTAATTTATTAGTGGTCTTTGAGGTGGAATTCTGGCTTGCGATGGAAAATATGCACTGTTGTAAGTTTCTAGACTCTTAAACTTTGGGAGTGTGTGTGTTGGGCATATGGGAAAATTGTCCAAGAAATAGAGAGTTAGTGAAAGAGTAGACTGTATTGAGAGCTACTTAATACTTTCTTCTACTTCTGTGTGCCGTCAGTGATAGCTGCCTTTATCTTTTATGGTACTCAGAGTAGTACAGTGTACTTTTAAGGAAATACTTAAATGTTTAGTTAAGTTAAATTAATTAAATGTTTTCTCATACCATTAAAATTTCTTTACTATATATTTGAACATAGTTAATTCCTTAAAGTGCATTTGAAATTAATTATTAATAGTATTTTGAATAGGAAAATCCAGGTTTCTAACATTTTCCCATATTATCTTTTACAGTTCTGTGAGTACTAGAATAGCACAACCATGTTTCGGAATAGTCTCAAGATGCTTCTTACTGGAGGGAAATCAAGTCGTAAAAACAGATCAAGTGGTAAGTGACTATGCTACATTTATTCTGTGTGCTATTTTAGAAAGGGAAGTTCTTTTAGGGATCTGAATTGATGCTACAACTTTATATATTTATTAAGTGGTTAATTTTTAAAAAAAGGAAGTTTACATTTCTCTAGGCTGCCATACTCTTTTTTTTTTTTTTTTTAAGTTTATTTATTTATTTTGAGAGAGCGTGAACAGGGGACAGGCAGAGAGAGAGGGAGAGACAGAATCTCACGCAGGCTCTGCACTGTCAACATGGAGCCCAGTGCAGGGCTCAAACTCACTAACTGCGAGATCATGACCTGAGCTGAAATTAAGAGACAGATGCTTAACTCAGTTATCCAGGTGCCCCAAGGCTGCCATGCCATACTCTTAATATAAGACGTAGGAACACTTAAATATTTACCAGGAACAGTCAGATAAAGGAGTTTGTGGATGAAACATATTTATTTCTGATATATGAGGGAGTAAAGCTTCTGTGTACTACTTATTAAAAACTTTCTAGACATAAATTTATTTTTTGAATTAACATAGGAAATTATTTCATTCTTAGGCACCCTCTGGGGAATGAGACTGTAGAAATAGGAACTGCCCTCAAAGGGTTGTACAGAAAGTGAAATATAAACTTAGATTTTTACAGTCATTAAAATAAAGTTTATGAAGTTTGTTTTAAGAATAAGGAGATAATTCTTAAGCTTTTAAGGTAAAAAACATAAATTTGTATGTATACTTTTTTTGGAGAAATGTTGGTAAGAAATGTAGTAAATGTTTTCTGTTAATGGGTTGTAGATACTTATTGTTTCAATCTTCTGATTTTCTAATTTTTCTGCATTTTACAAATTTACATTGGCGGTATATTCATTATTATTCACTTAAAAATGTTTTTAAACTCTCATTGTGATTTCTTCTTGACCCATAGGTATTTAAAGTGTAATTGTTAATTTCTAAACAGTTGGTGCTTTCCTGTTTTCTTCTTATTATTAACTTAGGTTCCGTGATAACAGTATAGTTAAGTTCTCTTACATTATTATTTTATTTTTTTGATTAAAAAAATTTTTTTTACTTGTTTATTTATTTTTGAGAGAGAAAGACAGAGTGTGAACAGGGGAGGGGCAGAGAGAGAGGGAGACACAGAATCCGAAGCAGGCTCCAGGCTCTGAGCTATCAGCACAGAGCCCAGTGCAGGGCTCGAACTCACTGATGCAGGGCTTGAACTCAGCAACCTTTGAGATCATGACCTGAACCAAAGTCGGATGTTTAACGGACAGAGACAGTCCAGGTGCCCCTATTTTTTTGATATTTTTTGAGATTTGCCTTACAGCTCTGCTTATGGTCAATTTTTGGTGAATGTTCTAGATGCATCTGAAAATAATATGGATTCTACAGTTACTGGGTCTAGTGTGGGTCAGTTTTGTTAATGGTGGTACTCAAATATTTTATACCCTTATTTATTTTAAAGAAAGTATTTACTGAGGAAGATGTGATTAAATCTCACACTATGATTGTGGAATTTTCTCCCGTTTCTCCTTCTGGTTCCTGACAATTTTTGCTTTATATATTTGGAACCTATCTTATTAGACACACTGAAATTTAGAATGGCTGTATCTTCCTAGTGAATCTGTTTTACCATAATTAAATGTCCTCTTTATTTCTAATAATGTCTTTTGTTTGAAAGTTGACTTTGTTTAATATTACTGTAGCTATCCTACCTTTCTCTTGATCACAGTGCTTGCAGAGTATAATTTGTTTTATTCTTTTACTTTCAGCATTTCTGTATGGTTTTACTGTTAATAGGGTATAGTTGAGCTTTCTTTTTTTAATTTATTCAGACAAATTTTTCTCTTAAGGGAGATGTTGGTTAATCCACATTAATTCAACCAATGATATATTTGTGTTTAAATATAACACATTACAATGTGCTTTCTACTTATACTGCCTGTTCTGCATGCTTTCTCCTTTCTTGCTTTATTTTTGATATATAAAAAACATTTTTTATTATTCTGTATCTCTTCCTTTTGACTTAGAAATTACATATTCTTGTACTTCTTTCAGTGCTTACCTTAAAGATTAAAACATCAATCAAAGTTTGATGTCAAATGGTACTTTTCCTTTCTTCTTGGACAATGTAAGAGCCTTACATTCATTTCCCCTGAATGTATTTTAAATTCTACAAGACATTATTGTTGTTTTATATACTCACCATTATTTAGGTTTACCTATATATTTGATCATTTCACTGATTCTCATTCCTTCCTTCATCCCTCACTTCTTCTAGATGGGATCACCTTTAATTTTGTCTGGAGAAGACCCTTTAGTATTTCCTTCATGTGGCAAATTTACTTTGGTTTATGTGGAAATGTCTTTATTTTGCCTTTATTTTTGCAGGATATTCTTGCTGGGAATAGAGTTCTAGATTGGCAGTTGTCTTTCAACACTTTCAAATATAGTTGTCTTCTGGCTTTTTTTTTTTTTTAACTTTTTTAAATGTTTATTCGTTTTTGAGAGACAGAGACACAGTGTGAGTTGGGGAGGGGCAGAGAGAGGGAGGCATGTGGAATCAGTGAATCAGGCCCGAAGGCCAGCACAGAGAGCCCAACGTGAGGGCTTTCAAGAATCCAGCAAACCGCGGAGATTTGAGCGAACTTGAGCGAAGTCAAATGCTCAACTGACTGAGCCACCCAGGAGCCCCTGTCTTCTGGTTTCTTGAATTATTTCTGGTGAGAAGTCAACTGTTAGTCTTAATTGCTGCCTCTTTAAAGGCGATCTTTTTTCTCCTTGTTCTTAGTTTTCTAGATTTACAGTGATGTGCCCAGGAGTGGTTTTCTTTTTTTTTTTTTATTATTATTAAAGTAGAGTTGACATACAATGTTATATTAGTTTCAGGTATACAATAGTGATTGGACAATTAGTATACTGTACTTTTCATCTCCATGACTTGTTTTATAACTGAGGGTATGTACCTCTTAATCTCCTTCACCTTTTTTGCCCTTCCCCAAACCCCCTCCCTTTGGCAGCCACTAGTTGGTTCTCTGTATTTACAAGTTTGTTTCTATTTGGTTGGTTGGTTGGTTGGTTGGTTGATTTTGTTTTTTAGATTCCACATACCAGGGAAAACATATGATATTTATCTTTCTCTGATTTTTCACTTAGCACAATACCTTCTTCCATCATTGTTCATCATCTATTTATGTTTGTAGTGTTTCTTGAATTTATGGCTTGTTGGCTTTCATCACTTTCAAAAAGATATTATCCATTATCTCTTCAGATTTTTTCTCCCTTCATTTTCACTCTTTCCTTTATTTTTAGGACTCCAGTTATGCATTTGATAGACCACATGCATATCATCTCTGTCTCTTAAAATCTCTTCCTATCCTTTTCTCTCTATATGCTTTATGCAGGATATTTTCTTTTTGATAAGGCTATCTTACAGTTCACTAATTCACTCTTCAGTGGTGTATAATATGCCCTTAACTGTATTCAGTTCTTAATTTTAGTTTTTTGTGTATTTCAGTCCTAAAAATTCCATTTGCCAACTTAAATTTTTTTGAAATAAATTTAAGCTTACTGAAAGGATGCAATAATAGTACAAAGAACACATGCCCTTCCACACATTCATGAGTTTTTAACTTTCACTGCATTTATTTTATCATTCTCTCTCTGTACATACATACATGTTCTGTCTCCCTCTCTCCCCAAGTCTGTCTTCTCTCTCACACTCACTTTTTAAAAAATCACTTGAGAGTAAGTTAAATACATTATGCCCCTTTACTCTTTAAAAATTTTAGTGTGACTTTCTTGAGGAAAGGAGGTTCCTCTATATAACCACAGTATAGTTATCAATTTCAAACAGTTTAACATCGATATACTTTTTGTCTAATCTACCATTTATTTTCCACATTTTGTCAGTTTACTGAGTAATTTCCTGTGTAGAATTTTCTCCCTTCTTCCCAAGCTCTAATAAGGATAAGGCATTACATTACTTGTCATGTCTTTTTATTCTCATTTAATTTGAAATACTCAACCTTTTTTGACATTTTTTGACATTTTTGAAGAATAAAGTCTCTCTTTTTAAAAATAAGCAGAAGCCCCTAATTTTGTGTTTGATTTTTTTTTTTTTTTTTTTTTTTTTTTTTTTTTTTTTTTAATGACTAGATTCAGGGTATGTATCTGTGGTCTGAATGTTACTTAAATTTATGTTTTTTCTTCTTGGGGCATCACAGCTGGAAGGCACAGTGTCCATCTGTCTCTCATTAGTGATTTTGATCACCAAATCAAGGTGCTCTCCAGGTTTTTCTGCTAATGGATACTGATTTTCCCCTTTCAACTTAAAAACAATCAACAGGTAGACGCCATTTGATTCTTTTTATGGTTTTCATTTCTTTGTCAGTATTCTCAGTCTTGTCTCTTATGTCCCTAAACATAGTAAAATCTGTGTCTGGTAACTAAATGTGTCTGTTTCTATTGTCTCTCTCTTTTGGTTTTTACTAATGTTATTTCATTTCCTTGTTTGTCTGTTATTTTACTTTTTAGTTATTTTTTTGAAGTAAACATTTTATTTTGGGTTAAATTTGGATTTAGAGAAAAGTTGTAAAGATAATACAGACAATTCTCAATACCACTTACCCACTTTTACCCATTGTTACATCTTATATTATTATGGTCCATTTGTCTGAACTAAGAAACCAACATTAGTAAACTATTGTTTACTAAACTGCAGATCTTTATTTGGATTTCATTAGTTTTTCCATTAATGTCCTCATTATGTTTCAGAATCCAGTCCAGAGAACCACATTACATTTAGTTATTTTGTCTCCCCACACAGTTTGATTGAGTTTGGCAGAAGACAGATAATTATTGGCATCACTTTTTGATCACATGCACACACACACACACATACTCATAGAGATCAGAGATCTGAGTGGTTTCCAAATTTGACACCTAAAGAAATGGCTTATCCCAAATTTATTTTCTGGCCTAGAACCATGATTTTCTTAGATA